CTGAGTGATTCAGCAACATGTACCATGACCAGTCCATTCAATGTGCAGTCACTCAAGTCCAGGTCCTGCAGTGCCTTGCACTGCCCCAACTGCTTGCACCATCATATATGCACATATAACCTCATACATGTACAGTACATGCATGTAGTTAGTGAGTAGTGAATAGCGCCCTCTGCAGCCATCCTTTTTTTAGCCTGTATAACACAAGACAAGATGGCTGATCCCAGCACTGTATAAAAGTTAATTAGTCCTTGTAAACTCCAAAGACAAGTCTCTGTCGGAGCATTACACATCATAATACTGCTGTACTACCCAGGATATTCTCAGAAAGATCCAATCTAACCAAGTTGGGTAGACCAGTGAGTGACTCAGCAACGTGTACCATGTCCTGTCCATCCATAGCCCCACTAGTGTGGCACGGATCACTCCCGATCTATCCTTAGCCACACATCCATATGCGCAATTTCGTGTGGGCGTATTGAACATTTTGGCGCACCAACTTATCATCTTGGGTGCAATTTCTTTTGCACACGAACATGATTATTGACCTTTCCGCTTTCTAAAAACCATTTATTGAATGATTTCACTCACGTTATTCAGGTATTTTCCAGTCTTTTTGCCTTTATCCATTCAATCTAACGGGCTTGCTCTCTCAGTCGCCATCTTTAAAATAAGGTCGTTGAGCATTACCTCGCTTGACCCCTCATCGTCTCGACGGCTGTTCCATGTCAAGATACCAAAACTGCTGCCAAAGTTTTGGAAGAGCCCCGGTACATGTAGTATCTTATCGCTCAGTCCGTTCATTACATGTCTTGACATGGAATGCTCAATACGCCGACATGAAATTGCGTTACGGATGTGTGGCTAAGGCTAGATCGGGAGTGATCCGTGCCACAGTAGTGGGGCCAGTGGTCCATCCAATGAGCACCACCTCAAATCCAGTGCAGTAGGCACAATAGCCTTAGGGTATATGGCTTGTGCATCACATGGGGGGTACCCCTTTGCCACAATTGTACATCAAATGCTGGATATAACCAAAACACATGTACATACTGCTGTATAAACACTACAACGCTTATGGTACAGACTTGTAGCAAAAACAGTAAAATCTGCTTTGATTTTCTGTTGTGTGGTATATGTAGTGTAGAAATAAAATGTTTGATGTTACAAACAAAGCGGTATTGCTTTCTTTCATGCTTTGTGAGTTGTGGCTGTTATATATGGTTGGTGATTAATGTCAGGAAATGGAAAAATGTA